TAAGGCAGGGTGCCAGACATGGCACCCACCGCTGAGCCCTGCACACGGGTGAGCCCAAAGTCCCCCAGCTTCACCCGCCGGCACTCATGATCGAAGAGCAGCACGTTGTCCAGCTTGACGTCCCGGTGCACCAGGGCACGGCTGTGCATGAAGTCCAGCGCCTCGGCCAGCTGGGACGCACAGCGTTTCACCAGCTCCTCTGCCAGACCCTCCTGCAGGGAGGGTGGTACCATAACCCGCTGCACAGCCCCCTCCCCAAAGGGGCTGCTGCAGCACCCAGACCCCTGCCCAGCACCGCCAACCTGTGCTTTGCCCCACAGCAGCCTGTAGCCACATGCCTGCACTGCAGAGGGTCTCCCCATGCACAGCACGAGAATGCACCTCACTGCAAAGGGTCTCCTCCCATGCACGGCGTCACTGCACCCACTGCAAAGGGTCTCTTGTGCACGGCATCACTGCACTCACTGCAAAGGATCTCCTCCCATGCACAGTGTCACTGCACGCCACTGCAAAGGGTCTCCCCGCAAAAAGCATGCACCCACTGCAAATGATCTCCTGTGCACGGCATCACTGCACTCACTGCAAAGGATCTCCTCCCATGCACAGTGTCACTGCACGCCACTGCAAAGGGTCTCCCCGCAAAAAGCATGCACCCACTGCAAATGATCTCCTGTGCACGGCATCACTGCACTCACTGCAAAGGATCTCCTCCCATGCACAGTGTCACTGCACGCCACTGCAAAGGGTCTCCCCACAAAAAGCATGCACCCACTGCAAATGATCTCCTGTGCACGGCATCACTGCACTCACTGCAAAGGATCTCCTCCCATGCACAGTGTCACTGCACGCCACTGCAAAGGGTCTCCCCACAAAAAACATGCACCCCACTGCAAAGGGTGTCCCCACACACAGTGTCGCTGCACCCACTGCAAAGGGTCTCTCCCCAGGCACAGCGTGGGCACGCACTGCAAAGGGTCTGCCTGCACGGTGTGAGTGGGTGCTCCCCACGCACACAGTGTCACTGCACCCACTGCGAAGGGTTTCCCCATCAAAAGCATGA